TAAAGAGACAATAGATGCTGTACCAAATGCGATACCTGGGAGAACAGACATAGAATTGGAAATATATGGTATGGAAGGGATTCCAGAAAAAGACATGGATGAAAGAAGACGACTTCTTGAACAGAAAACACAAGGTAAGTATTAAGATCTATGCTTTTTCTTAATACAGCTTCACTGATGAGAGTATTATAATACTTTTGACATATAAATTAAATAGTGGATGTTAGATTTATTCAAAATTCCAATTTTGAGTGTTGTTTTTATGTCTTTTAATGTTTGAAGTTGTATATTTAATTTGTGTATATGTAATACCACGTGGATCATTCCAAATACTTTATTATGTTTTGTTCCTAACTGAATTCTAAGTGGAATTAGCAAGTGTTGAGGTTTTTGAAAATGAAGGTTGCTTGTTTTGATTTAATTGTATAACCACTAACAGTAAAAATTTTTTTTAGTGCTGTTATTTGACTTGGAATTTGCGATCACTATCCAGATGGTAGAAGTTATTAATCACCTATCAAATTTTTTTCTTTTTAAGATTTTATTTACTGTGAGAGCACGTTCAAGCGATGGGGGGGGGGGGTAGGGGGGAAAATAGAGAATCTCAAGCAGACTCTGCGCTGAGCCCAGGCTCAATCTCACAACCCTGAGACATGACCTGAGCTGAAACCAAGAGTTGGATGCTTAACCGACTGAGCCACCCAAGGCACTCCTTTATTTTATTTTATGTTCTTAGGGTTTATTTTTTTATTTTTTGAGAGGGAGGGAGTGAACAAGCGAGCTTGGTGGGGAAGGGCAGAGGGAGAGAGACTCTCAAGCGGACTCCGCAGTGAGTGGGGAGCCTAGACCTAGGGCTCAATCCCAGGACCCTGGGATCATGACCTAAGCTGAAATCAGGAGTCAGACACTCAACTGACTGAGCCACCACACAGGCGCCCCATGAGATTTTTCTTAAAAGATTTTATTTATTTACTTGACAGAGCACAAGTAGGCATAGCAGGAGGGAGAGGGAGAAGCAAGGAGCCTTGCGTGGGGCTCGATCCCAAGACCCTGGGATCATGACCCAAACAAAGGCAGCCACTTAACCGACTGAGCCACTCAGGTGCCCCCCAATTTTTTTTTTTTTTAAGTAAGCTCTACACCCAATGTGGAGCGTGAACTCAAGACCCCAAGATCTAGAGTCACATGCTCTACCGACTGAGCCAGCCAGGTGCCCTGAAAATTCTGCTTTGAAAAGCATTGCAGAGAGGTCAGATCTCTTTGTCATAGTTTAGCTTTTGGGATGGAATAGAAAGCTATTTTTTAAAATAAAACTGACTTAGGAAAATTACTCTTATCTGTCATAAAATAGGGAAAGTATGTTAATCTTGGCTTAATATAGATTGAAAACCCATTTGAAGAGTAAAAAGAACAGTATTTTTTTTTTTTTTTTAAGATTTTATTTATTTATTTGACAGAGAGAGAGACAGCAAGAGCAGGAATACAAGCAGGGGGAGTGGGAGAGGGAGAAGCAGGTTTCCTGGCGAGCAGGGAGCCCGATGCGGGGCTCGATCCCAGGACCCTGGGACCATGACCTGAGCTGAAGGCAGACGCTTAACGACTGAGCCACTCAGGCGCCCTGCTTTTTTTTTTTAATTTTTTAAAAGATTTTATTTATTTAAAAAGAACAGTATTGACTGATTTTTTTTTGTAAGAAAAATCTCCTGAGCTAATTGCACTGAAATAATCATTATTTTTTAAAGATTTTATTTATTTATTTGAGAGAGAGTAAGCAGGAGGGGCAGAGGGAGAGGGAGAAGCAGACTCCCTGCTGAACAGGGAGCCCAATGCGAGGCTCGATCTCAGGACCCTGTGATCATGACCTGAGATGAAGGCAGATGCTTAACGACTGAGCCACCCAGGTGCCCTGAAATCGTTTTTTTTAAATGTTGAATGTCCAACTTGCTGAGTTTTTTTTTTTTTACTTTATGGGAAAAACTAATTAAAACTTTTTTAGCAGAGAGTCAAAAAAAGAAGCAACAAGATGATTCTGATGAATATGATGATGATGACTCTGCAGCTTCAACTTCATTTCAGCCACAGCCTGTTCAACCTCAACAAGGTTATATCCCCCCAATGGCACAGCCAGGACTGCCACCAGTTCCGGGAGCACCAGGAATGCCTCCAGGTATTACATAAGGTTTCTTAGAATTTAACATTTTAAGGACTTTATTGATACGGTGTAAAAGTATTAAAATTTTCTCTTACTCTAATATATTTTGTGGTTGTTGTTGAAATTCTTACAGGCATACCTCCATTAATGCCAGGTGTTCCTCCTCTGATGCCAGGAATGCCACCAGTTATGCCAGGCATGCCACCTGGGTAAGAGAACTTTTAATTGACTTGTGGGCTTGTGCCTAGTAATGATCTTTTTCAACTTGGGTGTTATATGAATTTTAAAATGTTACTTTGCCTTTTTTTTTTTTTTCTTCTAAAAGGTATGGGCTCCATAAATATTAAACTTGTCTAATAAAGGGGTCTGCCAACAAATTAAATGAATATAAATTTGCCTCTGAAGAGAATAGATTTTTGGGCTTTAGGATGTCTGTAGGCAGCCATCTGCTTCAATTGCATCTGATGTAATTAAAGTAGTTGGTTATAGATTGGTGTTTCTGAGATTCAGAACTGTCCATGACACTTTGTAGTTCTGACAAGAAGCAAACTCTGTAAATGATTTTATTTGTCAAATCCTCAAGAACTAAAATGGATATGAGGTGCTCGTGCCTATCACTTTTACTTAAATATTGTTGGATGTGAGAGGTATACAATACACTTTCCCACTGTATTTTGAAAATCACAGTTAGATTTTGATTTTGTCATACATTTTCACAGATTGCATCATCAGAGAAAATACACCCAGTCATTTTGCGGTGAAAACATGTAAGCATCTCATTCATAATGTAATTCAGGAGGTATAATCATAATGTCATTTTTTTGTGTGTTTAATGGTATCTATTCAGTTGACTTCAGAAATTTTCTAACCTTCCTCACTAAAACTTCTAAAATGTGCAAGCTGGTTGACACAGATCTCTTAATGGAGGGAAATAAAACATCTGTGAGGAAATTATAATAGACCCATATAAATAAAGCATTTTCTAAATGCAGCTGTTTTTCCCCAACTGCTAAAGTAATGGAATTTAGTAAAAAGGTTATTTAAGAAAGAATAGATATTCTTTTGCCAAATTACATGCTTTATTATTTATAGAAGGTAATTCGGTTTTCTTGTAATGAAAACTATATATATACATATATATGTAGAAGTTTATCTTTTGATAAAGTCCTCAGTTAAGAATTCACAAACTTTTAACTGTTTTAAGTGAATTGGACACTGATATTTGAAGGTGAGCTCTTTTAGGGGAAGGAAAATAAATACGGGTTATGTTTTTAAGTCATGGTTTAGTGTAAGGTAGCTATTACAAATAGAAATTAGGCAATTGTGTGAGTTTACTTTTGACTGTCTTTAATTTTGGTGGTAGTGGTTTTTTTTTTTTTTTGTAATCCTCAAAAAAAATCTTTACTCCACAGTGTGTATTCAGTACTTTCCTTTTGAAAAATCTGATGATTCTGAAATAGTTTTTCTTTTTTATTTACATTTTGTGTGGATATTTTCAAGTGAGACAGAAGGTGATTTTGATTTCCAATTACACATATTTTAGATGAGGCCTCTTATATTAAGGAGGGTATAATTGTGTTTAGTGACTTTAAATTTATGAAAATGTTTTGTCAACAAAGACTGATTTTTTTTTATTTTACTAGTAAACCCAAGAGTTTGCTGATATTTAGAGAGCTTATTTTGATAGAATTGTTTTAGTGTTGTGTGTTCTTTCAGGTTGATTGATTTCAATATTAGGGGTCAAATTCAAGTCTTTTATCTGTTGTTTCAGGCTTTAGCCAAAATATTTTCTAATGGTTTATACTGTTCATTAACTTGGTTTGTTTCTTGAAATTTGCTTTCCAATAGAATGATGCCAATGGGTGGAATGATGCCACCTGGACCAGGAATACCACCTCTGATGCCTGGTATGCCACCAGGTATGAAACATTAGATAATTTCCTTTTTAATGTGACTGGCATGCTTTATTCTTACTATTTTGGACAATAGGTTTGTGGATTTTAGTGCAATTGTATAATTTCCGTAGGTTGCTGAATTCTTTTTTAAATTACTTGAAGTGTTGGAATGGACTGTGGGATTTTTTTTTTGAGTTCTGAAATAGGTAATAAACAGGTTTCAAAGCAGTCAAAATGAGTTACAGAACCTACGCACCAAAGCTCATGTACCTAAGAGGCATTGTATTTGTGGGTTTGTTGTTTTAAAGATTTTATTTATTCATTTGAGAGAGAGAGCGCATAAGCACGGGGAGCAGCACAGGGAGAGGGAGAAGCAGATTCCCTGCCAAGCTAGGAGCCCAACGCTGGGCTCGATTCCAGGACCCTGGGATCATGACCTGAGCTGAAGGCAGATGTTTAACCAACTGAGCCACCCAGGCACCCTGAGGGGTTGTATTTGTTAGGAATATTTTAGGTGAGTAATGGAAACTCTTCTGGCAAGTAATGGAGAAACCCATCAAACCATATTTAAAAATGTAGGCGTTTATTGTCTTACTCAACAGAAAGAAAAGTGGTAGCCTCAGTGGCTGGTAATGTCAAGAACCCATGTGTTTTTTTTTTGTTTTTTTTTTTTAATGTAAAGATTTGTTTTATTTTCTACTGGGAAAAGAAGGAGGATAAATAGAACTGTTTCCCAATTTGCTCTCCACTGTATACACACATACCCACATACATACATAAACATACACACACCAAAAATACCCCAACAAAAAAACAAAACAGAAAACTGAGAATCAAACACCAAAACACCCTCAAACTGCACCAATACTTCGTATTTTGACCGAAAGAATAGATCCTGGATAGGAAGTGCAAAATGCAAAATCAAATGACCGAAAAATGCTGAACAAACAGCATTATTAATATACAAAATATTTATATTACTGAACTAGTAACAGTTGATGTTCTCCATGTCTGTAAAACTTTGGAACCACATAGCTGATTTGTTAAATCTAGTCCATGCCAGCTTCCAAACTCCAGAAAAACTTTGTTAGCTTCATTCTTTGATGCCTCATCAAAATTTTCTCCGAGATCTGGAACATCATCATCCTCTTCATCAATGTCTTCTGGTTTTGGTGCTTTGCTATCCAACACTTGCCAAGGGAACTGTTCAGCTAACTTCCTAAGACTTGTTAAGCTGTCAGCACCAAGCTGACTTAATATTCCAGGAAGCATTTCTGTGATTGGTTTGGCTTCTGCATGACCAGTAATTGCAAAGGTGTTAGCAGAAAGGGAAGCTTGGACTTTGGGATTGTTGAAATGAATAACTGTCCCATCATCTTTAATCATGTTCACCTCTTCAATACCAGCTATATTATTCACGGCCAGTTTTTTTAGAGAACTCTGAAGTTGTTTGTCATCAGCCGTAGCTGTTCTGTGTACCACCTTCTTCTTTCTGCGAGCTGTACCCTTGCCCCCTATCCGGACCTGAGCCTGAAGTTTGGCTAAGTTTTCTTGATTCATGCTGTTGGTAAATCTGAAGCAGGGAGGGTCCTCCAACAACAGCACGTGGCAAGAGCAAGATGGCTGCCTCACAAGAACCCATGTGTTTTTAAATGTTCTTCTTTGCTAGCCTTAGCTTTTCTCCCTCAGACACATCACTCAGTTGTTAGAAGATAATGCAGGCAACAAAGAGTGTCAACAGCAAAGTGTTCTTTTTTTTTTCCATTAGGGAGCAAAGTAACTCTCCCAAAAGCTTCCTAGCCTCCTGTTGTTGGCTAGAAACAGTTCTAATGGACCCTCTAGCTGCAAGGGAGTCGTAAAAAAACAAAACAAAACCCTGTCTTGACTTTGTAGCCTATAACGTGGGGTTTTCCACATTAAAGTAAGGCAGCAGTAAAATTTGCATCATTGCTGGTGCAACCATTTATTTATAGGCAGTAGCTCCACATATGTTATGTTCTGAGATAATTTTAGGCAAAGTAATGTTGAGGAAGTTTGAAGAATGCATTAGTGATGGATTTTAGGAAAATTTATTTCAAGTGCTTAAAGGAGGGGCGCCTGGCTGGCTCAGCCTGTAGAGCATGCAACCTTTGATCTCAGGTTTTAAGTTTGAGCCCCATGTTGGGTGTAGAGTTTACTTAAGAAAAATACAATCTTTAGGGGCGCCTGGGTGGCTCAGTCATTAAGCATCTGCCTTTGGCTCAGGTCATGATCCCAGGGTCCTGGGATTGAGCCCCACACCAGGCTCCTTGATGCTTCTCCCTCTCCCACTTACCCTGCTTTTGTTCCCTCTCTTGCTCTGTCTCTGTCAAATAAATAAGTAAAATCTTAAAAAAAAAAAAATACAATCTTTAAAGTGTTTACAGGAATAACTTAGTTTTCTGGAAAAAAAATTTTTAAGATTTTATTTATTTATTAGAGAGTGAGAGAGAATGATCGGGGAGGAGAGGGAGAAGCAGACTCCCACCGAGCAGGGAGCCCGATGTGGGACTTGATCCCAGGACCCTGGGATCATGACCTGAGCCGAAGGCAGATGCTTAACCAACTGAGCCACCCAGGCGCCCCTGGAAAAATTTTTATGGGTATATGACGTATCAGAGTTTTTACAGTAATTTGAGTTAGAGTTCAGAGAACGTCCAGCTGTTGGAAGATTGCTCTAATTCACTACGTGTTTCAAAAAGTTTGCCAGTCACTAAAATTGGTAAGCTTAATTGCTATCTTCCCCATATATAGACTCTCTAGTGGTATCTTTCACTTCCCAAAATTCTGAAAATACACAAAGGAATAGAAAGGTTGAGGCAAGATTGTTCCAATGGGCAAATGCCTAAGTTATTTGGACTTCATTGAATTGAACAGTTCATCAGTAACTTTGTAGCATAGAAGCATTATTTATTTATTTATTTTTGTTTTTCAAGATTTTATTGATTTATTTGAGAGAGAGCATGCGTGCAAGCAGGGAGGAAGGGAGGGAGAAGCAGACACCCTGGTGAACAGGGAGCCTGACTCGGGTCTCAATCCCAAGGACCCTGAGATCAGGACCTGAGCTGAAGGCAGGCGCTTAACTGACTGAGCCGCCCAGGCGCCTCTTTATATTTTTTATTTTTATTTTTTTAAAGATTTTATTTATTTGACAGAGACACAGTGAGAGAGGGAACACAAACGGGGAGTGGGAGAGGGAGAAGCAGGCTTCCTGCCAAGCAGGGAGCCCGATGCGGGGCTCGATCCCAGGACCCTGGGATCATGACCTGAGCCGAAGGCAGATGCTTAATGACTGAGCCACCCAAGCGCCCCTTATTTTTTATTTTTATTTTTTTTTTTAAAGAGAGCATGTGAGTGGGGGGATGCAGAGAGAGAGGGAGAGAGAATCTTAAGCAGTCTCCATACCCAGCATGGAGCCTGATGTGGGGCTTGATCCCATGATCTGAATAGAAATCAAGAGTCAGAGGCCCAACCAACTGAGCCACCTAAGGAGCCCCTAGAAGCATTTTTAATACGGTATATTTTAACAGTTTTGGGAAAAATTTTTTCTGAGCTAAATGTTTCAACACCCCCCCCCCCCAATCCTCCCAACATTTCTTCTCTATAGGTATGCCCCCTCCTGTTCCCCGTCCTGGAATTCCTCCAATGACTCAAGCGCAGGCTGTTTCAGCACCAGGCATTCTTAATAGACCACCTGCACCAACGGCAACAGTTCCTGCTCCACAGCCTCCAGTTACTAAGCCTCTTTTCCCCAGTGCTGGACAGGTAAGGTGAAATTCCTGAAAAGGAGTGCACTTATATTTAAAGGTAAAGTGTAGTTGTTTATAGAAATCCTTGAAATTGTCATAGGTCAATTTTTTGTTTATAATCTTTTTAATATAATTTATTAAATACAAACAAGTGTCCTATTCTCTTGCATGTTTGCACACATTGACTAGAGCCAGATAGTATGTTATTTTTTTCATAGCTGTGAACTCTGGTTAGAAATGAAAGTTTAATTTCTGGGGACTTAAATACATGATAATGTTTAGAGATCCTCTTTTACCGCTTGAACTGTGAGTGGAATGAAACGGACTCTTTAATCTAGAACAGTGACAAATGACAATGCTACACTTTTGCAGGAAGGACATCATTTGACCTAGACTTAATCTTTCCTACTGAACTTGTCTTTTTTCAGAACTCAGAAGCTAAAGATGCTTTTGTTATATATATCGTATGTGTATAATGGTTGTTTACTTTTGCTATTTTTTCCCAGTTATATTCAAAATTAAACAGATGTATGTAATTCATTCAGAATTAAGATCAGGATGTGTGTTCTTTTTTTCACTTTAACATTATCCCATAGAAGTTTTGTTTTCTCAATTTTTTTCTGTTTAGGGTTGCTAAATTAAAAGTATTACTTTTTAAGTCCTCTGTAAGCACATATCTTATGTTTTTGAGGTGGGTGGGGATTTTGTTTATTGAGAGATGTCAAACTTTTGGCAAAAACCTTGTGGAGTCATTGATAGAGAATTGGATTGAAGTGTCAGTAGTAATGCATCTTTATTCTCAATTAACGTATCATTTTTGGAAAATCACAGTGCAAAAGCACATCCAGTTTTAGAAAAGAAACTGGTTAACTAGGTTTATTGGTGTAGAATTAAAGATTTTTTTTGAGGCTCATACTGTCACTTTGTTTATTGTAAATGCATCAACTGCCTGCCTCTTTAAATAAATCAGATTTGATTGCATTATATTTTGCGTTTATAAAAATGCAATCTATACTAAAAAAAAAAGTCTACCACATGGCTTATTTTCACCCATTTGTTTGGAGACTTTTCATTGTTTCCTTTCTTTTATGCTACAGATGGGGACACCTGTAACAAGCTCAAGTACAGCTTCATCCAATTCAGAAAGTCTGTCTGCATCTTCTAAAGCTCTGTTTCCTAGCACAGCACAAGTACGCAGGAAGTTGCAGTTTAAAGTTGTTAAAATGGCTTTATAAACTTAACCCTTTGGACCCTACTTTAAAACTAAATCTTTTCCCAAAAAAATCACTATGTTAAATTTTTTTAAAGTTAATGGTATAAAAATCAACGGTATTTGAAAATTTGAACTCATACTAATAGAAAAAAATGTACCCCAAACTCCTATGGTTCTAAAGGGTTAAAAGCATGTAAGCAGTAAATGCATTATAGTGGCCAATGGTTAGCCTGATGCATGATTAAGCTTTTTTGATTTATGCTGTTTAATGCATCACATATAATGTAAGGAAATTTAGTACTTTGCATTTGGTTCTAAAGTTTGGCCTAGTTTTCATGTTTCAGATGTTTGATATTATGAAAAGTAATACATATATTACTATTACTGGTAACTTTACGTTTAAAAGATCCTACTAAGCCCTTTTGTCCATGATAATCATCTAGCCATTGTTAATTGGGAGGACATTGTATTATCTATATAAAGATATCTCTGAAGGGACACCTTTAAAGTGCCACCACTGATACTGTTCATGCTATGCTTAGTAACTAAAATTTATCCAACATTTGTATTTTGTAATTTCTAACTTTTTTTTTTGAGGTGCTTGGTAGATTGATTAAACAACTAATTTAGAATAGTAAACATAGAACATGCTATTCTGATACAGTGTAATTCATCAGTCTGAAATAACTACAAAGCTTTGTAAGGCAAGTAAGTTTTGGTGAGAAGGTAGATAACATCTTAGAAGTTACATATGCAGTCTTTGTTTCCACTGCTGAGTTTTGGATGTGACTTTGACCCAGCATCTTTTGATATTCTTGTGTATCATCTTGATTTTTTGTGGAGTTTTAGTTATGTTAACTTTGTTTTAATTTCATTGAAAGTTTGGTCCTTTATTGAATGTTGGTATCTCACTTTTAAGTTAATTATAATAGATATATTCAGTTTTGGCTTTTGAAGTTTCCTTAATGAAAGATTGTGTTTTCCAGGCTCAGGCAGCTGTCCAAGGACCTGTTGGTACAGATTTCAAGCCCTTAAATAGTACCCCTGCAACAACTACAGAACCCCCAAAGCCTACATTCCCTGCTTATACACAGTCTACAGCTTCAACTACTAGTACAACAAATAGCACTGCAGCTAAACCAGCGGCTTCAATAACAAGTAAGCCTGCTACACTTACGACAACCAGTGCAACCAGTAAGTTGATCCACCCAGATGAGGATATATCACTGGTAAGTTCTTTACAGGTTTTTATTAGTGTAGTTTGAATACCGTTTTAGTAACTTTTCCTCTTAAAGTATTAATTTGTACACCAGTGGTCTTATAATCTGATCTAATGCTTACTGTGTGCTTTTTATTCTGATTATTAAGAACCACAAAATAAAGGGAATATTGCGTGTTTTGATCTTAGACACACTCTTTCCCCTACTCCCAGATTGTGTTTAAAAGAAGACAGTAAGTTGGGTTCTTAACTCTCAAAAATCATTTTGGTTACACATAAATTTGTAAATGATGAAACAGTTAAGTGGTGAGGTAGAATATACAGATCCTTTGAAGTGACTTTCTTCACTAGACACTTTCTTGCTGAGGCAGTGTATAATTCCTGGGAAGTTATTAGCCATTTTTCAAATATAAAAATAGGTGAGGT